GAAATTGGATGCCCGCCCAAACCCAAAGGCTAAACTTGCACTATATAAATCGAACATTGTTCCACTCGTTTTTCACTTTTTCTACATGGTGATAAAATTAAGGTTGAAGATCGACAAAGATTCCGAAGATTACGTCTACCATAAATACAAATATAAACTTGATTGTAAATTATTGTAATTAGTGGTTACCATAATTAGGTTGTACATGTTCCCTATTTATTGAAAGGATCCTCACACGAGGAAGGCAATGAAGTCTAATTTTATCATGGTATCAGAGCCATACCTTGATATCTTCCACTGTTCTTGAGTTTTCCAGCATCTCTGTAGTCGGTTTCGGTGTGTAATCGGCGCTATTCCTGCATCCTGTGTGTGGGCTCGAAGTAATTTTGAGCAATTGGTGGGCAATCGATTGGGTGTGTCCGTTGGGTCAGCGTCGCCGTTTCCGATCAGGCGCTTCCAGTGTGCAATCAACTTGATTCCGGTGTCCAGAGTGTGGGCTCGAAGTGATTTCGAGCATTTGTGGAGTTCATCGCGTGTGTGTGTTCTGGAGTCGACTGCGTGCGTGTGTTCTGGAGCTCATCGCGTCGCCTGCGTCGTCTCCGTCGCCTTCAGATTGGACTGTTTGGGCCTGTGTTGAAAGTGGGCCTGTGTTGGGGTGAGTTGAAGGAGTGGGTTTTATTAATTGAGATTGGGCTGGTTTAAGAAGTGGGCCTGAATCATTTAAGTTTGGGCCGGTTTAAGAAGTGGGCCTGAAATTAAGTTTGGGCTAATATTTAGGGGCAATTAAGTTGGGATAAAATTATTTTGTGGATTGGGCTGTAATTTAGTGGATTGTTTGGGTTACATATTGTAATTATATATATTACAATATGTCGGTCGATGCGTTTTGTGTTAAGTTCACAGGTAAAAATTACTCAATATGGGAATTTCAATTTAAGATGTTCTTAAAGGGGAAGGAGCTTTGGGGTCATATTGATGGGTCATCTATCACTCCTGAAGATGCTAAGGATTTCAGTGCATGGGAAACAAGGGACGCTCGTATTATCTCTTGGATTTTGGGATCGATGGATGCTCATATGGTAAACAATCTACGCTCTTTTACTACAGCTAAGGCGATGTGGGATTATTTGAAGCGAATTTATTACCAAGACAATAATGCACGACGATTTCAGTTGGAGTTAAAAATTGCTAACTACACTCAAGGTACTCTTACAATTGAACAATACTACTCTGGTTTCTTGAATTTGTGGAGCGAGTATTCTGGTATTATTCATGCTAAGGTCCATGCGGCGGCCTTATCTGCACTACAAGATGTTCAAGAGGTTAGCAGGAGGGATCAGTTTCTTATGAAATTACGACCCGAATTCGAAGTGGTCAGGGCTGGCTTATTGAACCGTGATCCAGTTCCTTCTTTGGATGTGTGCCTGGGTGAACTTTTGCGTGAGGAACAACGACTGGCAACTCAGACTACCATTGGAGCTGAGTTTTCCTCTTCTAATGTGGCCACAGTTGCTTATGCTGCCCAAGGACGGGGAAGAGGTAAACTACAGTGTTTTGGCTGCAAAGGATACGGACATATTGCGCGTAACTGTCCTCAGAAAGTCTGCAATTACTGTAAACAACCGGGACATATCATCAAAGACTGTCCTACAAGACCTCCACTCCGTCGTACTCAAGCATTTCAAGCAGTTGCACAAGATCCTAATCCTGCACTCTCTCCAGCTAGCACTAGTCAACCTGTTCTTACTCCAGAAATGGTTCAGCAGATGATTGTTTCTGCCTTCTCTGCCTTGGGCTTGCAAGGTAAGGGTCAAAATATTTCTTCTCCTTGGTTTGTTGACTCGGGGGCATCAAATCACATGGCAGGTAGTTCTGATTCCTTACATAATATTCGACGATACACTGGTACACAGCACATTCAGATTGCTAATGGCAGTACTCTTCCTATTACTGCTGTTGGTGATATTGGGCCTTCTTTCGATAATGTTTTCGTATCTCCGGGTTTATCTACAAACTTGATTTCGGTTGGTCAATTGGTTGATAATAACTGTGATGTATGTTTCTCTCGTGCTGGTTGTCTTGTGCAGGATCGGGGATCGGGGACGGTGATCGCAAAGGGGCCTAAGGTCGGAAGATTGTTTCCACTACAGTTTACTAGTTTTCCTGCTATGTCTTTGGCTTGTATTAGTAATAGATTTAAACATGAAGTGTGGCATAAACGATTGGGTCATCCCAATGCTTTAATTTTATCTCATTTGTTGAAATGTGGTTTTTTGGGTAATAAAGAGCAGTTTCCGTCTTCAAATTTGTCTTTCGATTGTGATACTTGTAAACTTGGAAAAAGTAAGACTCTTCCATTTCCATCTCATGGTAGTCGTGCTCATAAGTGCTTTGAGATTATTCATAGTGATGTTTGGGGAGTGGCACCTGTAACTTCACATGCTCATTGTAAGTACTTTGTGACGTTTATTGATGATTTCAGTCGTTACACTTGGGTATATTTTCTGCGGTCTAAAAGTGAGTCGGTACTATTCTTCAGAATTTTATAGCTTATGTTGAGACACAATTCTCCTCTCGTGTTCAAATCTTGAGAACTGACAACGGTGAGGAATATATGTCTCATCAGTGTCAATCGTACTTACAACAAAAGGGTATTCTTTCTCAACACTCTTGTCCGTATACCCCTCAACAGAATGGAGTGGCAGAACGAAAGAATCGTCACCCGTTGGATGTTGTTAGAGATTTGCTCTTAGAGTCATCAGTTCCAACCAAGTTTTGGGTCGAAGCACTTTCCACAGCGGTATATTAG